GTTTCTAGTTGTGCACAATTCCGCCATAAAGCGGGCCCTCCGATCTCAATAAGTGCCAAAACTGTGGTAGTGTCTTTGACTACGAAGTGGGACACATGTGTACCACCAGTAGTCAAAGGGTTAAGTGCAGGGCTCTGGGGGAGAAAATGCAGAGCTACTGTATAGCGTTTAATCTCATTTTCATCAAAATCACAAACACATCCAATAAACTTTAATATTGAGAAAATCATTACAGAGATTTGCGAATATGTATAAACTATTTGAACTAAACTTTTCTGCCGTCGTTTTCATGACCCTTCCGTTGTTCGGAATATGTAATATGTGTGTATGAATTCAATAACAAAAACAACATATCAGCGTACGACACGTTTCCCTAATGAATGTCTGGTACGAATATCGATTTTTATGCCCCTTCTCTTGCAGCTGCCCTTGAACGGGGTTTTTCTCAAATGAAAATCATCACAAAAAAACTGGGAGTAACAGCAGTAATAATAGCGTAAGGGAGATATGGATGAAAGAGCTTCAGTACAAAAAATACAATTTAGAAATATCAAAATCTAGTTCATCTGCGAAGTGCGAGTATTTTCTAGTAGAAGAAAGGAAGTGGAATTTGACAGCTTGATATGGAATGCTCTGAGCCTTAGTGATAAAGAACAGTTTCTCATGTTATGTGAACGCTTCAGCTAGCAAAAGAGAAGAAAACACAATAATCGGTATCAAAGGTTAAAACTGAAGCGAAAAGATCTTTCTTCTCAGATCACCCCGTCGTCACTAGTGACTATTCGTGGTCGCTATTCGTGAGGTGTTGAACACGGAACAGATTGCACAATTCATCCACATGTGCCTCATGACGGAATGACACTCTGAAACGATTTTTAAACGTTACAGGTGATGTGTGTCGACAGATATGCACAAATGGTCTCTTCAATGAAGCTATTCTACTTCCGTTGGGAGATCGATTACAACAGTTGAAAATGCATGACCAAACTTGTGCTTCTGCAAATTTGTCCCCTAGTAGACGTGAAAGTCACTTCGATGTAACCGCGCTTACTTGTTTTAGGTAATTGTATGTGGAGATAATGAGCAGTAGCCCTAGGATATTGAACAGGATTCGTTAGTCGTCCACAGAGTGGCTGGATTCAGAGTGGATGGAAGAAGAAGAGAAGAAGAAGATAGTAACTAATGCCATCGATGGCGGAGACACCTTATGAGAGACCTAATCACCTACGGCAGACTCTGCTGTCTAATAGTGCTCCTCTCTTCTCCTGCAGATGGGGTGCATGGCGGTACGTGCTTTCCGCTCCGCATACAGAGAGTATTGGTCCTGCGGCGCGCCCGTGACGATGTGTCTCACTAACAAGGAACCATGATCCATTCTCCGTCCATACGCCCCCTGGGCTGTCAAAACAGCGGGGAAGAAATGGTCCAGAGTTTGATACTCCGTGATGACATAATTTTTGCAATTCATGTTGACGCCTCCAAATTGCCTCAAAACACAACAATGACATCCATTCTCGACGATGGCGCCAGTTTGGCGGCAATCTGGGAGCGCCAAATTAATATTGCAAAAAATCAGTCATTTCCGGGGATCGAATCGAAATCTGCCCATTCTTGTCGCCACTAGTTGTACATTCACTAGAGGCGTTTCGAAGTAGGTGAACAAAGAGAAACCACCTTGTTCTGTGTTTTCCCTGATCACCGCATAAGCTCCAACCAAAATCTAGACAACCCATTTCGAAAAAAATCTCGATCAAGCCTTTCGAGGTGATTCGTGGAAGACCTCGCCTTAGTAATAGTACCGAGGTTAACCGCTTCGAGGAGTTCTTTCCACCCCGACTTCACTGTCGGTTCAATCATTCCTTCGAGCCAAATAGCCACACATCGGTGTGTACTACCAACGCCTTATGGAATCCCTGTTTTGGCAATATACCTTTTTATTTCTTTGTCCGTGCGTGCATTTGAAGGCCTGCAATTAAAGCAACAATCCAGGAACGAATTCGCGGGTAAGGACCACCTATAATGACGTTGCAGGTGAGAAGTTGGTCAATGGAGAAAGAAAAAGTAGAAAAAAACGTCGGGCAGGGGCTTAGACAGGGACTCCCCCTGCCGTTTAGGATGGGGGAGACGTGTGTTGGACGAGTTGTCCGAACCTGCCCGCAGTACATGCGCTCCAATTGCAACTGCTGGCAAATAGCCATGCATGCTTGCAAATACATGGCTATTTGCCAGCAATCGTATTGAAGCGCGTCAGTTGCGTTCTTATAGAATCGACCTCATACAGCGCGGCGGTCCCGCAACGACCGCTAGTCGAGCAAGCGCTCTGCACAGCTGCTTGGAGGCGGCCCCACCACGGATCGGTGGATCCGCCCCTCTTGAAGGATTTCGACTGCTTCCAACGCCTTTCAGAGGTAAGTTTTGAAGTTTGTGACATTTCCCATGAACTCCAATCAGGCTGAGGCATGTTTCCACCACTTGAAAACCAAATGGTTGAAACCCTGCCTGGACTGTTGCTTTAATAGGAATGAACGCAAACAGTACCTTACCTAAGAGAGCCTGCTAGTCATCTTTACGGAACTATCCATGCCATAGAAGGGGGACATTGGGCACTTTAATCCCTCTCCCACATTTATAGGTAGGGTAAGAATAAAAAAAAGACAAACGATCAGTGCGCGGAAAAAAATGAAAACTTCCAAAGGTGAAGTGTCCACGAGTAGGATCCAAGTCTCATACCTGCCCACCCAGCAACGGTGCCCTTAGTGCTTCCATAAGGATCATAGGGACTCGCCTGATTTTTGATACACGAATACTCTCATGGAGCAGGCAAGTCAGATAAAAGTAAGACGGCGGTAAATGGGAAGAAAAATTCTCCGTGGAGCTATGATTTCTGATCATCAAACTCACCGAATATCTGGGACGTTCGTCCGATGAATGTCATTACCAAGCACTCCTTCTTCTTGATAATGTGGGCCTAGCCAGTGAATTTTCACCTGAAAATTCATATTTATGATAGGTAACGCCACTGAAACTGAACTCCCAGAAGTCCTGCAGACTGGCTCTTTTAGGACGCATCATTTTGAAACCATATTATGAAATGTACGCTCACTTTATCTTCGAATCCACTCTGAAGAACGCTATTGCGAGCCAGTTCGCACATATCACATGAACTCAGTTTCCATACCTGAATACATAATTTACATAATATCTTGGAATTTCGGACGCTACAGAGGGGCACAGTCGAACTCTACAGCAAATCCTGTATCCTATCTGAATCGAGCTATCCAGTTATCCAAGACTAGGTCCACGATTTCTGATAGAAATTCCGCCTTTCCTCGACAAAAATGCAGTGGTGCGCAAGCGGGAGACATGTACACGAATTTCTGGTTGACTTAAAAGGTCGAGGCGCTAAGGTCCCAGGATGCAGCATTGACCCCGCCCAACACTACTGCCCCCGTACACAATGAATGCTATTTCACTCCGCCGCTGTTAGAAATGGGGCTTAACTTTTGTCATGGTCAACGGTTCTAC